GAAGCCATCAACGTCTGGACCCACCTGGTGGCCGCCCTGGTCCTGCTGCTGCGCTTCCAGCAGCTGTCCCAGACCATCGACTTCGTGAGCGACCCCCACGCCCACCCCTTGTTCATCATCCTGGTCGCCTCCATCACCTACCTGAGCTTCAGCACCCTGGCCCACCTGCTCCAGGCCAAGTCCGAGTTCTGGCATTACAGCTTCTTCTTCATGGACTACGTGGGCGTTGCCATCTACCAGTACGGCAGCGCCACGGCACACTACTACTACGTCATCGAGCCGGCCTGGCACGCCAAGATCAAGGGCTTCTACATGGCAGGGGCCGTCTCGTTAGCTTGGCTGTCCTGCGCGGGCTCCTGCTACGCCAAGTACCGGTATCACCAGCTGCCGCGCTACCTGAGCAGGCTGTGCCAGGAGATGCCCTCGGGCCTGGCCTACGTCCTCGACATCAGCCCCGTGATTCATCGGATCTACGTGACGCAGTCCTCGGAGCACCCGGACCCAGCCATCCTGTACCACAAGTGCCAGGTGCTGTTTTTTCTCCTCGGCGCCTTGTTCTTCTCCTACCCCTACCCGGAGAAGTGGTTCCCCGGGAAATGCCACTTCTTTGGGCAGGGCCACCAGATCTTCCACGTCTTTCTGGTGCTGTGTACCCTGGCCCAGATCCAGGCGGTGGTGTTGGATTACGAGTCAAGAAAGCAGGTCTATGCCGGTCTGCACACCGAGACGCCCCACAACTTTTCCGCCCTCTGCCTCTTCACGGTCGTCTGCTGCGTCCTCACGGCCACGTACATGGCCGGCAAAGTGAAGCGCAAACTGAGCTGCAAAGCGGAGTGATGCCCCCGGACCGCTCCCAGGCTACTAAATACCGGCTGCCGAGCTGTCTGAACGGCGCTCGCCCTGACCCGCGGTGTTAAAACCTGCCCGGGGGCTTCAGGATACAGGGGAGGAGTGGAGGTGGACGAAGGGGGAATATCGAGACGGCGGGCCTTGCGAGGGGGGTTGACTCTGTATCCTGGAAAGTGCGCGTGGATGCGTGCGTCTGTGTGCATGAGTGTGTGAGAGAAAGCTTTTCCTCTCTCTGCTTGTTTTCTGCATTTGAACTTCAGATTCCGTGTTTCCCGGAGCACTGCATGAAGGGCTGGAAACCCAGCAGGACTGCGGCATCGGAGGCGCCCCGCATTTGAAGCCCGGAGAGGCGCGAGAAGGGAAATGACTTTTTAATCAGAGTAGTGAAACCTGGTTTTGCTGTAATTCTGATTAAACTCAAATGCCTGGGATCAAAGCTGTGTGTTAGAGTCCATCCTTGTACCCTGAGGTCTATGGACGGAGGAAGTTCCCTGGTCACGTCCGGGGTCCCCAGCAAGGCTTTCTAGCAACACGAAGCAGGGCAGAGTAGACATCAAAGCCCAGTCCAGCCTTCCTCCACACATCACAGAGCAGCAAGCAAGGAGACAAGTCCAGGATGTGTCTCGTTTGCAGACACCCGCTGGGCCAAAAGGACCCCCCACAAGCACCCTCTTGCACGCTGCAGCCACAAAGTACCTCGGTAGCAATCAGCCCTGATGTGCCCCGGGCCAAGAACAGGGGAGATGAGGGCTTTGCACTGCCACGGGCCCACGACAAGGACGGACAGGAGCAGGAGAGGATGTGGGAGGAGAGGAGGCCTCGTTCCCACTGACCTCTTCCCCCTGCAACGCCTCTCTGCAGCAGACAGCGGTAACAGATGAGCAAGGCATGGGGGGTTATGCAGACCCGACGGGAGCAGAGCGGGGTGACACGGGGCAGCCGCTCTACTCCTGCTGTGCTTTGGCAGCAGCGGGAAATGGCAAGGACAAGGAGCCTGCCGGAACCGGGGAACGAATGCACCGATGGGAAAAGGGGCAGAGGGGAGACGCACTGAGAGCAAGGGGTGGTTGGTGGGGAAGGACAGGAGCTTGGGGGGAAGGCCCGGGAAGATCCTTCCCCATTAAGGCCAGCCCAGAGGGAGACATTCGCTGCAGGCACGAGCAGCAGCGTGGACAGAGCTGAGGGCAACCAGGACTCATGCCGGTGACCTCCGAGGGGGAGGGGGTGGGTTTGGCGAGAGGCTGGACAGCGGGAGAGTCCTTGCTGTTCTCAAATCCGGGCCTGGCTGCAGAGGACGGAGGGGCTGCCCCACACAAGAGCGGCCAGGCGAGTTTAGGGTTAGAGCCCCCGGCTCCTCTGCAGCTCGGCCCAGCCACCCAGGTCTCTCCCGGCTGTCCACGGGGTCTAGTCTGAGGCCCTGCCTGCAGCGGGCGGGAGTGGGGGGCGCTGATCAGCTGTGCTCTGTGCCCAGCCTGAAAGGGGCCCCGGTCACCAGGACCATTTTGCAAGCTGCGGCTTCGCTTGCTAGGAATGCAGTGAGTGTTGCAGAGCCCGGAGGCTTGTGGGTCAAATCCTGGCAGGTGGGGAGCATTTTAATGAAGCTTGGCAATGCCTTGGTATTTAGTTAAGCTTTAAAGCACGCTGGCAGCCTGCATAATGCTTCGTGTGCCGCAGCCAGTGCTAATGAGCGAGCTTTGTACGGAAAAGCACGTGGCACCACGCACCTGATGGCAACTGCCCTCAAGCTGCGCAAGGCAGGGGGTGCTGGGATGGGAGGATGAGGGCATTTCTGCTCTGCCCTGCTCTCCCCAAGCACAGGCGTGATCCTGAGCCCAGTTGTTAAGGGATTACCCAGACTCGGGCCCTGGATCTTACCAGGACTTAACATGCCAAGTGCTCTGAGGACAAGTGGCAAAGTCTCAGCGCTAGGTCACGGCGGCACTCGGGAGCGCTGGAGGCGTCCGTGCCTCCGACGGGAAGAGGAGCATCCCTGGCTGTGCGCTGTCCCCTCTAATGCATGCGACTGGCTCGGCCAAACCCGGGTGCGAGGGACCGCATCTCTTCTCCGGTGGCAGCAGCGTCCTGAAGACGGCGGCTGACTTGAGGTAAGCGCAGCGCTCACGGTAGGCGGCATTTGCTGGATGTAGGAGACGCCGTGCCCTGTGTTAATACAGGAACGCGGGATCTGGTGAAACCTGCGATTATTTTCCCCTTGCGGTGCAGTCCTGCCCCTGGAGTTCGAGAGCGGAGCAAGCGAGCCCTGACGTGGGGGAGAGAAGCCAGATCTGCCCCGCTCCAGTGGTTTTTGTGGCGGGGATGTGCCGTTTGGGCTTGATTCAGGAGAGGACTGGGGTGAGACCCAAAGATGAGAGGGCCTTGCTTTGGGCGGTTCA